ACCACAGGTGATATATACAGTGTATATATATACATATATATATAGATGCATATGGTTTGATAGATTACACAATGTTGAACTCAGGATTTTCTCTGATGTTTATTTTGAATACATGCAGATTTTATCAGATATGAACCCATCACAACAGGAATACACTTGAAAGGTTCTCATAGATGCATTATGTAAGAACCAATCGTCAAACAATTATAGCTTCACTTAAAGTGTGTCATACATTTAAACACATTCATCATCCATTGAAGAAAGGTAGTTGATGGATACATTTAAAAATGTATTGTTTAATTCGAATTTCAAGTTTTTAGATGCAAATAAAGGTTTTCACAAGTTCCAGTTTTTAAAGTAAGAATCATAAACTCAAAAGAAGAGCACATTATAAAACATGCCCAAAATAAGACTCATTTTAAAACAGGTTAAAATTGTATTGTGATAATAAATGCTGCAGATACAAAGTATTATAATATAAGATAATACCAGTCACCAAAACATCACTCATGATCATCTCTCATTAAACACCACTCAAAGACAAATAATCTAATCTCATGTCCTCAATCTTCAAACGATTAACATCAAAACTAAAACACCACTGAGTATTCTAAATCCCTAAATAAAACCACAAGTGAAATATTCACTCCATTACACATGTTGGGAGTGCTTTACATCGTTCCCCGACCAAAAAGAATTCACAACCTACAAAGAAGCATAAATGTGAACAAAAGCTGAATCAATTCAGAAACATGCAGTTTATATATTCAGTTTGAGACAATGATTGTTGGATTTCAATAATGAGATGAGATGAGATGAGATTCAACTTTATTGTCATTACACATATACAAGTATAGAGTAACGAAATGAGGTTTGGCATCTCACCAGAAGTGCAAATAAGCAGAAAGTGCAATAGTCTGTGCTATGTACAGTAATTGAGTGCAAGAGTCTGTGCTATGTACAGTAATTGCAAAATTTAAAGATGTAGCCAAAAAAAAGTGAATTATTCGGTATATCTGGATGGCTGGATTAATGGGATGCAATAAATATAAATAAATGCTATAAATAAGTAATGCTACAAAATAAGTGTGTTTTTAGGATTCTAATATACAGATTAAGATGCAGTGAGCATGCTATACTAATAATATACAGATTAAGATGCAGTGAGCATGCTATACTAATAATATACAGATTAAGATGCAGTGAGCATGCTATACTAATAATACAGATTAAGATGCAGTGAGCATGCTATACTAATAATATACAGATAAGATGCAGTGAGCATGCTATACTAATAATATACAGATTAAGATGCAGTGAGCATGTTATACAGTTTACAGATAATAAAGAATATGAACATACTATAATACAATAATACAGATGGATGAGAGATGTGTGTGTGTGACCAGGAGGAGTGGTGGGGGGATGATGGGTGTGAGGTGATATGGAGGGGAAAGGGGGGTCAGCAGGGTGCGGAGAGAGAGAGGGAGAGAGAGAGAGAGACAGAGAGAGCAGGGTGCGGAGAGAGAGAGGAGTGAGAGAGAGAGTTCAGAGTTCGGGGGTAGAGTTCAGTAGAGAAACAGCTCTGGGGAAAAAGCTGTTCCTCAGTCTGCTGGTTCTGGTCCGGAGGCTTCTGAAGCGCCTGCCGGAGGGCAGGAGGGTAAACAGTCTGTGGGCAGGGTGGGAGGAGTCTTTAAGGATGCCATGAGCTCGCCGCAGACAGCGTTTTCTTTGGACATCCTCAATGGCAGGAAGTGGACACCTTGTGATGCGCTGGGCGGTTTTTACCACCCGCTGTAGCGCCTTACGGTCTGCGACAGAGCAGTTTCCGTACCAGACTGAGACACTGCTGGTCAGGATGCTCTCGATCACACAGCGGTAGAAGTTCATCAGTACAGCTGAAGACAGGTGGTGTCTCTTCAGTGTCCTCAGGAAAAAGAGGCGTTGATGAGCCTTCTTAACCAGACTGGAGGTGTTAGTGGACCAGGAGAGGTCCTCTGTGATGTGGGTCCCCAGGAACTTGAAGCTGGAGACACGTTCAACAGCCATCCCGTTGATGTGAATGGGGTTGTGCGTGCTTCCTCTTTCTCTCCTGAAGTCCACGATGATCTCCTTCGTCTTGCTGGTGTTGAGGAGCAGGTTGTTGTCAGCACACCAGGCGGCCAGATGCTGTACCTCCTCCCTGTAGGCCGTGTCATCGTTGTTGCTGATGAGGCCAATCACCGCTGTATCGTCCGCAAACTTGATGATGGTGTTGGATCCATGTACAGGTCTGCAGTCGTGGGTGAAGAGGGAGTAGAGGAATGGGCTCAGCACACAGCCCTGTGGTACGCCTGTGTTGAGTGTGATGGTGGTGGAGCAGGTGTGTCCTGACCTAACATACTGGGGTCTGTTGGTCAGAAAGTCCATTATCCAGTGACGGAGGGAGGAGTTGAAGCCCAGGTCTCCGAGTTTAGTGTTAACTTGGAGGGATGACAGAGTTGAATGCTGAGCTAAAATCAACAAACAGCATTCGTGCGTATGTGTTGTTATTGTCCAGATGAGTGAGCACAGAGTGCAGCGCAGTGGAGACTGCATCCTCTGTACTCCTATTGCTGCGGTAGGCAAACTGGAATGGGTCCAGTGTGGGTGGGAGGCAGTTTTTCAGGTGTGCTAGGACCAGTCGCTCAAAGCACTTCATTATGATGGGTGTGAGTGCCACAGGGCGGTAGTCGTTCAGGCCTGTCGGGCTGGAGTGTTTCGGCACTGGGACAATGGAGGTGGCTTTGAAGCATGCTGGCACAGCTGCTTGGGCGAGGGACAGGTTGAAGATGTCCGTAAAAACCCCAGTGAGCTGCTCCGCACATGCCCTAAGCACGCGCCCGGGGGTGCCGTCTGGACCAGCAGCCTTTCGAGCGTTGATCCGGCTCAGTGCAGCGTGGACGTCTGTGGAGGTGAGTGAGAGGGGCTGGTTGTCTGCAGGAGGTCTGTCGTGGTCTGTGTCTCTCTGTTGTCTCTATCGAAACGAGCATAAAAGTGATTTAGCTCGTTCAGGAAGGAGACATCTGTGGTTATCGGGGTGGAGTTTCTGGGTTTATAGTCACTGATGGCCTGGATGCCCTGCCACATGCGTCTGGGGTCGGAGTTGGAGAAGTGTTCCTCTACCTTCAGCTTGTAGCAGTGCTTGGCCTTGATGATGCCCCTCCTCAGGTTTGCCCTGGATACGCTGTAGGCCATTGCATCATCTGATCTGAAGGCGGTGTTGCGGGCCTTCAGCAGGAGACGCACCTCCTTGTTCATCCATGGCTTCTGATTTGGGTACGTGGTGATCTGCTTCCATGTTGTAACACTGTCGATGGTGGTGTTGATATAATCCAGCACAGAAGAAGTGTAGGTGTCAATGTCTGTGTGAGAGCCCAAGGTAGCCTGCGAAGCAAACATACTCCAGTCTGTGTGATGGAACTTGTCCTGAAGTACAGAGTCTGTCCCCGCTGGCCACACTTTAATCGTTGTTACTGATGGCTTCACACGTTGGATGAGTGGGGAGTACTTGGGATGAGGAACAAAGAAAGATGGTCTGACTGTCCCAGGTGGGGGAGGGGGGTCGTGGTGTAGGCTCCTGCGATGTTTGTGTAAACATGGTCCAGAGTTTTGTTTCCTCTTGTATTGCAGGAAACATGCTGGTGAAATTTAGGGAGCACTGTCTTTAAGTTTGAGTGATTAAAATCACCTGCAACTATAAATGCAGCCTCCGGGTGAGCAGTCTGTTGTTTACTGATAGCGGTGTAAAGTTCCTTCATAGCAGCTTTAGCATCGGCATCAGGGGGATGTAGGCTGCAGTTACAATAGTGGAGCTGAGCTCCCTTGGCTGATAGAAAGGTCTACATTTAACCATGAGAAACTCAATGTTAGCTGAGCAGTGTCTCCCAATAATGACAGAGTCTGTGCACAAAGCTTTGTTAATATAAATGCACAGCCCTCCTCCTCTGGTCTTACCGGAGTCCTCTGCTATTCTGTCTGCTCGGTGTGTGTGGCGACCGGCTAGCTTGATAGCATCATCCGGTACTCCGTTGTTTAGCCATGTTTCCGTGAATATCATGACATTACAGTCCATAATTCTCTTGCTGTGGATGATCCGAAGTCGTAACTCGTCCATTTTGTTCACCAAAGACCGCACATTAGCGAGGAAAATGCTGGGTAACTGGAGACGGTGCGGTGTTAGCTTTAGCTTAGCCCTTATACCTCCACGCTTCCCCCGCCTTTGTTTACGGTCTCGACGCCGCCTGCGAGCACTTCCGCCCGGCCGGGTAGAGTGCGTAGCCTCGGGTGTTTTGCCGATCTCAGGGATGAATCGAAGATTGTTGATTAAATCGTCAGGGAGGTGTATTCCGATATCCAAAAGTTCCGGTCGGGTGTAGGATGTTAAGGCGAGGCTGTTCCGTGCGAACAGACCCGAAATTAACAATAAAATTACTGCAAAATTGCAAATCTGAGAGAGACGCTGGGCCTCGCGATGCGCTCGCGCCGCCATCTTGGTCGTAATCTCCCGCCATCTTGGTCGCAATCTTGGCTTTCTTTACCTAAATGGTATTCAACAGCCATACAGCTGCTAGCTGTGTAAGTATCCAGTGTCATGTGTGTCTATGTATCAGTTTAGAGATCAGAAATTCAAATCCAGAAGCGATCCAGATCCAGTGATCTTTGAGATATGGCTTTATAACTGATATATATTTTCCTTAATGTTAAAAAAAAGTATCCAATTTTTTCTGGATCAAATTTTGAATGGGTTTTCTGTGTGAGTCGATAGAAGCGTAACACAGTGAATTAAATGGGCCAATGATACTGTTTCATATTGACTGCAGGCCCCGTAATTGTACAGAGTGGCATCATATATTATGCTTTATCTTTGTCCTCAGAATAAAAACATGTTGTATGTTGTTGGAACTGATTTTTAAACAATCAATTTAAAAGAATGATACAGCATGTATATGATAAAAGCGAGAAAAAACATGAGTGCTAGGTCTGAATGCAAATATTATTCAGTGTTATTCATGTTGTTTGGTAATTTCCTTGGTGTCAACTTCAGGAGGATCGCTCTAATTACCCTCAGGTCCAACCAGATTTGGCTCCATCCTTAACCTGCATGTTAATACAGACACAAAAGTACATCTGTTTTAAAGAAAGCAGTGCAGAGTAAACCTAGTGAGAGATAAACTGAAGAAGAAATGATTCTATTTAACAAACAATCCAACATTCAACTTATTTTAAATCAAAACAATGCACTCATCATGCAGATCCAACATCTCGCTGGTGAGAACTTTCAGTTTTTTTAAATCTCAAGTAATAAAATACATTATTTCAAAGTTTTTGTCCGTTGGTAGGAAAATACAAAAGTTTGAAGACACCAATGCTAATTTAGCATCAAAAAAAGATCAAAATCATATATATGCAAAAAAAAAGAATCCTGAAGTTTTGTTTCACAATGCAATCATTCCCTCCCTGCTCATTGTTCCATTCTAATGCTCATATATTAAAACAGCCTTTCAATGTAATAAAACCACTAACTGCATATATTAATATGTCACATACACACCCATTCAGAAAAGCCAATTTTTACAGCAGAAATAAACATGTTTACAGTCCGATTCAAAAAACCAAATTGGTCTGATTATCTCATGTCTCAATCAGCACACACTGTATGAAGAGGGATTTTTTTTTTAACATGTCCATTTTTCTTTTCATGAAGGATACGCGTTATTCACAATAAGACCCGTAGCTTATAGGCCTGGGCTAAAAAAACTAAAAATGTTATCAAAATGTCATATCAGTCGACATAATTATCACAATAATTGTCAATCATTTTTACTTTCAAATTTTCAAATTTAAAAGCTGATTTTTGCTCCTGAGTGAAAGTTGAAGAAACCAGAGGGTTGGTTAATCTTTTGGTTTCACTCCCATGCTGCTGTTGCTTACCTCTCTTAACCTGAGGGCCCCAAACCAGAGTCCTGCACGGTTCCAATACAGGTCAGTAAAATTGTTTCAGTACAGAAACCTGACTGACTGTCTAGACTTGCTGTCTAACCTGGATGCAAACCAGGACAAAGGACCAATAACATGTTGGAGTGTTGCTCACTTTGGCAGTATTTTGTTAAGTTAAAGTATCAAATCAATTAGAGTAGAGCTTCACCAGCACAGGTAAGCATACGTTAACCTGAAAGGAAGACCGAAGGCTGAGGATGCTAGCACAGCTAATGTTTTCCACACTCAGCAGATTGTAGATCACATGTTCAACCATATTAAATAAACTGTACTCAGTGTGGACTGTTTTCTATTTACTTTAGCCAAATCAACTGGTTTTATGTTCAATCAACAGCAAGTTAGTTGATATTGTATCCTTTAACATCTTAATATTCAACTATTATCAAAGGATTGGAAAATCATTGTACCACTGTTCAAACTGCTGTCTGGCAGCCTCCACACTCTGTTCATCAATCTTCTTACAGAAGACCCTGATCAGCTGCTCAGAAAAGATCATTGTGCGAATCCTGGATGCCTGTAAAGATTGACAGCAGCTTTAATTTGAGAGTTATGGTGACATAAGCTGCCTTACAAATAATAGACAGAAGAACTATTGAATGATTGTGAAAAAAAAATGTTTTAATCAATAATTAGTTCTGACATTTTCTGGGGACATTGGCTTTGCCACGTCAGGCTCCTTTTTGCTGTAGAAATGCATATGTCCAACAGGGTTCTTGTCTTTCATGCCGTAGTCCATGTTAATGACCTAAAAAGAAGGTCGAGAGTAAAATGTGTGCCATAACAAACTCTGCAACATCTTACAAATCAAAGAATCAGCAAAACTGAAGATTTTACAAAAAAGGTCAGATGAAAGAAAGTAAAAGAAAACTCACCAGGATTTCAACGTCCTCTGGTTTCAGGTTGTTTTCTTCCTCGTCAGGGAGGGGTTGAGCCAATACTTCTTTCCAGCCAGTAATCTGGCTCTTGACAAGAAATCAGAAAAAAATTGTGGAAAAGGATATAGATTCAAGATTTTTTGCATTTTAAGTTGACAATGTAAGCAACTTGGAATTCAATTCACATTCACTCAAAAAACTGCACCAACTTAGTGTAAATGCGTTTGACTGTAGGGCTGCATGGTATGATCTAAGCATTAATTTTGCTATGTGTGTAAGTGCCATGGTAATATCCCAGGACGTGTGTTAGTCCATGAGCACATAAAGTGTAGAGGGAGAGAGAGAGAAGGGATCACATGCAGTGTATGACGATGAACTGTTCTTTGCTTAGAAGTTACTGTCACAGGGCTCTTGATGCAAATTAAATGTAGCTTTGAATGTATAAGGGGTTCTTATTTGTAAAAGAAAATAAACTTGAAGACCCAAATAATAATAAAAATTGTAATAGTATGAACATGAAAAGAAAACGCAGTTTCCCCAATATCATGCAGCATTAGTTCAGTGAGGGTTTTAGATTTGTATGACAACGATATTATAATTGTATGATAACGGTGCATGAGATCATGTGTAATAAATGTAATGAAACACAAGAACAGAGACTTACTTTCCAATCCTTGATGGTCTTTGGCTTTCTCTCACCAACAAACTTGTAGATCTTTCGAGAGACAATGTTTTGCAGAATCTCTCTTGCCTCTTGTAACTCAGGACGGGAAGACTTCAGTATTTGCTCAAACACGTTGTCTAAAAGAGTAACAGAGCAACAAGCAAACGATTAATAATTATACACACAAAAAAATTAGTGAATTTAATTCAAACACACTCAATAAATTGTAAGACTTGGCATATTAATTTATAAGTCATTACAAATTATTTAACATGATCTGGTTCATTTACATGTGCATAATTAAAAAGTGCCTACATCAATTTCCTTTTCAGATTGTTGGGTGTAGTGCATTATTTAAAACAATGTCTTCATATTTCTGAAGTCTGAATTTGCTTCAATGTTAAACATGAGCTAACAGCACACATTTAAATCTACACACCTGTGAGCTTTGTGTAGGCCTCCATGTTCTTAAAGGCTGTAGAGAGAGTGAACATCCTCCCTCCTGATCCTTCAATCTCAATGTGACCGTCTGCTTTCAAAAAAGCCTCTGCAATCCTGTATGTTCATATCAAACATATTATTACTGATGAGATAGTGAATCATGACGCAGATCAAATAATGGAAATCTTATATTTGGAGTACTAAGATCTGAAGGTAGACACTTACATATGTTCAATGACTTTGTTTACTCTGTGCTGATAGGCTCTTTTGTGGAGACGGTGTCTTATGTAGAACAAGTCGTACATATTGTCCTCCTCCTGTTGAGGTTAGGACTGTAGTTTAGTCATAAATAACAACATTATCAGTTTGCTTTCAATTATCTGTTTACAAGCTCAAGTTTGTCATACTATGTCTCTGGTGCAGATAGTTTTCCTGCCATCAACCTCACACACTCTGGCAAACTGCAGGAAGCGATGAAAGTCAAAGTTGTTCTTGATTCCCAGGTAGGAAGAGTCCCTGAGTAGTGTAATGGGGAAAAAATATATTTAGCAGATGTGTTAGAGTAATTCTAATGTGAACTGTGTGACATTTCATGAAATGCTGGTTTAGATTAAGCATCATGTGTTTGGATAACCTTTGATTTCTACAAGGATGACTCTACATGGACTAAACATTCCTCTGTTCAGGTTGATTGTGTTAAACTGCTTATCTCCTACAACAGGAGCTTGTCAATGTTGTTGTTTCCTCTTTGACATGTATAAAAGGAGACTTCATTCTATATGTCATTTGAGCTACTCTGCAGTGTGGTCACCATGATACACTCTGTACAGTTTCTTCTTCCTACAGCTTCTTGTAGGAATAAAACCTCACAAAGATGATTGGGGTTTTAGTCTTTGTTCGTATTCTCACGGGGGAAATATTTCCATTACCGTAGAGACAGATTAAGGCAATGTGAAGAAAATAGGTGTATAGAGGGAAACTGAATTTACTGTTGAGTGCTGTATCATTTTAAAATAAATCATGAGAATAATGCATTGTTCAGGGTTAAGAATTATTTTACAGCACTTCATTAAAACCTGACCTGGCCAAGTAGTCAAACTTGTCCACATCAACGCCGTTTCTTTTGTTGGACACAATTTCGTAGAGGAAGGACTTTTCTTCTGGGCGCCCTTTGAAATCCAACTGCAGGGATGACGACACAAAGCGAATCAGGACCAGTTTTATTGACACGTATGTTGTTGTCAATAAATTTACACTGCATAGAAACATATGTAGGACCATTCCACAAAACAGAGATAAAGCTAAAATATGAACACAATAAACTATGTACATGGAAAAGCATGACAAACAAAACAACGGTTAAATTTTAAGATCTGAGTTCTAGGCAGAAGAAAAACTTTTTGTCACTCTTCTTGTCCGCCTTTATACTAAGGAGATGTTACAAAATAGTGACATTAGTGACATTGCTGTAGGACACAGACTGATTTATGCACAGATGAGAACTTGCCTTCTGGTCTTCAGCAATCATCACCTTAATGTTTTTTGCATGTTAAGGGTTCAATCCATGCTTCGCTTTCATCAAATCATGAAAAATATTGCAAGAAGACAAGGAACTACAGAAATAGCACAACCAACATTTGCAGAGAAGATCTCAAAACGTGTGTATGTAAGAAACACTTTAAATGTCAGAGTTCCTAAAGTTCCTCAGAATTTGACAAGTGACTTAATGTCAGCCAATTTTCTGTGGACATATACTGTATACAACATCCTAACAGTCTTTATCAGGGTTATTTAGCTAGCTGAACTCAACCCAGAGTCAAACTGTTAAGCACAAGAGTTTTTGGGAAGGTGATCATGCAGCTCAGTTTTCCCTCCAAATGTTTTTTCACACCTGGGTTGTTTGGAAAAGTTGTTCTGAAACCATAGCCCGGTTTGTTCAGACATATGTGAATACAGCAATCACACTATTTTGGCTCCTCAACTTTTTTGATCTATTTTTTTATTGAATGATGCACTGTGTGCTCTTTTTGGCTATCTTTGCTCTTTGCTGCCCGTTGTGGGATGAATAAAGTTTTATCTTCTCTTATCTTATATTCATACAGTATCTTATCCGACTTCTGAATAACATAATGAGGTGAACTTGCCTTCTGGTCTTTAGATTCCTGTAGAGGTCCAGCAATCATCTCCTTGATGAATGCTATGTCTTCTTCAGGTTTCAGTCCATACTTCTTCATCAATGACTCCTATAAGCGCTGCTTCACTAGGATAAAGTCGGATTGTGGTCTCACAGGGAAGATCAGGTTGCGCAGGGGGGTTAAGCAGGGGGACCCCATGTCTCCCTTGCTTTTCAACCTCGCAATCGACCCTCATCTCTGCCTTATGGAGGAGAAGGGGGCGGGAGTAACTGTAAAGGACTTGACGGTTTCATCCTTGGCCTTTGCTGACGACTTGGTCCTCCTGATTGATTCCTGGGACGGCATGTCCAGCAATCTGGCAATCCTCGGAAAGTTTTGCCAACTGTCGGGGCTCCGAGTCAACCCGGCAAAGAGCCATGGCCTTTGACCTTCTTAAAATATATGGTCTCCCCCGGGTGACATATATCGCAGATCTAGGATATGTGAGCCGGGCCCATCTGGACGTCTGTGACAGGGACATTCGTACCAAGGTGAAGGCCTGGCTCCATCTGGAGCAGTCGCCCGCGGACGGTCTGTTCTCAAGGGCCCGTGACGGGGGTCTAGGGCTGGTTCGGCTCGGAGCGTTAATTCCGGCCATTAGGCTCCGTCGCTTGTCGCTAATGCTGACCTCCGGGGATGAGTACACGAGGGTGGTATCCGCTGCCACCCTCCCGCCCAAGCTGCTGGAGTTGGTGAGGCTGACGGTCGAGTCTTCTGCTGGGGTCGACGGCGGCTCGGAGAGTGATTCGCCCACCGCGAATGCTCCCCCTGTGTCTCCCTCAGCATGGCAGCATGCTTAATTCGACAGATGGAGCAAGCTAAGTTCCCAAGGTGTCGGCGTTTCGGTCTTCCGGGACGACTGCATAAGCAACGCCTGGTTGTGCAATCAGGCCGAATGCCTCCGGTTCGAGTCTGAAACCATCACTGCCTTGAAGCTTCGGTCCAATGCGATGCCCACGTTGGTGTCTGGCGCGAGGGGCAGGCCAACGGCTCAGAACCTCCTGAGCTGCCGTCTATGCAAGTCACATCGAGAAACCATGCGGCAAATTGTCAGCTCCTGCCCGGGGCTCCAAAAGAATAGGTTGAGTAACCACAACAAGATCTTTGAACTCCTCGCTAACGAGGCAACCAGCCGAGGCTGGTCTGTAGACAGAGAGAGGAGGATGACCATCCCGGCCGGGACAGTCGGAGTCCCCGACCTCCTTATGCGGAAAGGACCCCAGGCCATTATTGCTGATGTAGCCATCGGCTTCGAGGGCTCAGAGGACACCCTCAGTGATCTTGCCAACTGCAAGTATCACAAATACAAGCCCTTTGCCAAGGTAGCTAGGGGTCTTTACCCATCCCTATAACGGGTTCGTGTGCAGGGTTTCCCCATCGGAGCGCGGGGGAAATGGCACGGACCTAACGGTTCTCTACTGGGAGCCCTGGGCCTCAGTAAGTCACAGAAGAATAGCTTCGCCAGGCTCTTAAGCAAAAGAGCCCTGCTCTTTACTATACACTTGTTTAGAACCTTTTTCAAGATTGTCCTTTCCAAACATCCGTTCATGACTCGAAAGCCTAGTAGCCCCAGATCGAGCGAGGCTTGAGCGCGCTGGGGTCCCACATTTGCGGGTGCGGCAGCTGACAGTCCTGGTGGCTGGCAGTGTGAGTCCGCATTACACGTGTGTTCTCCAGTGGCGCCCTGTCTTTCTCAGTCCCCCCCTTGGCTCGTGGCGGGGGGGGACAATGGACGGTGGGGGTTTTCGGGGGAAGCCCGTTGGACCTGTATGGCGGGCCCGGCCGCTGGTAGCCTATAGCTGGCATCGAGTCCGGGTTACGAGTGCAGGGCTGGCTGGTGCCTTTGTTCCCCCCCACCGACGACAGCCGGTTTGAGCGTTAACTTCTTTGGCTAAGCCTCTCCCTAACCTTGGCCCTAACCCCCCCCAGGGCCACAAGCCATGTACTGGGCTGTGGCTGAGTGAAACCCAGGACTGTTTCTGTGGGCATTTTCGGATGTGATCACTGCTCTCGGTCGTTCTCCACTAAGGCAGGGCTATCTAATAATAGACGGTCCCAACACATGGTGGCTTTTCACCGGGATTCCCAGACAGCAACGGGCAGTGATCGGGTTTCCAAGCTGAAGTGGAGTGACGCTGAGGATAAGTATCTGTCCAATTTCCTGGCAGTGACAGGAGAAACAGCAGCGGCCCTGGATGAAGCTGTCTCTCACCTGGTAGGTTGAAGTCGTTCCCAGGTTAAAGCCAGGTGTAGGAAGCTTAAAAAGTCTTCTGTGTTGGCTGCCTCGGTAAGCCCCCGCAACACTTTAGATGCCGAGCTTCTAGCCCTCGAAGCTCCTACACCTGCGGTCCCAGCGATTTCCGTGTTGGCTCCAGTTCTGGCGCAGGCGGGTCAGTCTGCTACCACCAGGCGGGGCTTCTTTTCAAACGATATCCGTACCATAAATAGTTATGTGTGGGCCATCCAAAGATTACTCCGGCGGTACTGCTTCAGGACCCCTTACATGGCTGTTCAACGTCAAACGCTGAGAGCTAAGGGGGGGTGTCAAAGGGCATGGCACACTTGCAACAGACGAAGCGGACAGTGCTGGACCTGTCTGAAGTGGCTGGCTGGCCGCACGTGAGGCCGAGCCTAAATCAGACTTGCATAGCAAGCATTCCCTGGCCGCCCAGGGAACTACCGAGCAAATAGAGACAAAGGGAGGAAGAGCCTTAGAACGAGTCCAGGACCTTCTCCAATCCTTCTCTGTTGAAAGACACCGGGGCTACCACCTGTAACTCTCCGAGGGAAAATCTGTCTCCCTGGCAACACCACGCTGGCAGCTCCAGTTCGGACCTAACCGGGGTCACAAGACAGGGAGGGGAGTTCAGAACTGACCAGCGGCCTGGCCCGACAGGGGGGATGCAGGCTCCAGAAGAGTCACACAAACCCCCTGCCTATGGAAAAAAAGAAAAATGTAATTGTGAGCTGTGTATACAGAGCACCTGGGTTCCAATATTAAAACATTCAAGAATAGTATGGAAAGATTGTTTACCAAGAAGGATCACAAAGTTGTGTTCATTTGTGGGGATTTTAATTTAGATCTGTTAAATCCCAACAAGCACAAACTGACTGAATTTATCGATGTATTGTTCAGTATGAGGTTTTTTTTTCAGTGACCATTTGATGGTTTTTGTAATGTTTGTTTGTGATGATGTTAAGTGTTAGGATGTTAATAGGATTAGATACAGGAAAATAAGAACAGAAGAATTTATAAACAAATTTAGAAATGCATTACTAACACAAAATTGGAAACAAGTGTTTAAAGAGGCTGATACCAACAAAGCATATGAAACATTCCTGATAACATTAAAATCATTATATGATGAACACTGTCCTTTGAAACAATACAACAAGAAGCAAAAATATATAGATAGGCCATGGATGACAAAAGGACTTCAGAATGCATGCAAAAAAAGAATACCTTGTATAAAGAATTCATAAAATTCAGAACTATAGAACCAGAAAGTAAATACAAAAACAAATTGATTAGTATTATAAGGAAACTACCCTCAGTATTTTAAAGACAATGATTCAACTGTAAGCAATATGAATGACGTGGTTAATGGGTTTAACAGTTTTTTTTTTTAAGTGTGGGACCAAAACTGGCAGAAGAAATCGATAATCCACAGTCAGAAGGAGAGAGGAAGGTTGTGGATTTGTTAGACAGCAACCCAAACTCAATATTTTTGAAAGCAGCTGATGAAAATGAGATTATTGACATTGTTAGCAAATGTAAGAATAAAAGGTCTACAGACTGGAATGATATTGATATGGCTTTAATCAAGGTAGACATTGGTGTAATTGTAAAACCCTTAACCTGTATTTGTAATTTATCTTTTAAAACTGGTGTATTTCCATGTAAAATGGAAACTGCCAAAGTCATCCCACTATACAAAGCTGGAGACAGAAATCAATTTACTAATTACAGGCCTGTGTCTTTACTCTCTCAGTTCTCTAAAATATTAGAAAAACTGTATGTCAGTAGATTGGATAATTTTATGAGAAGCACAAATTGTTGGTTGAGAGTCAGTATAGATTCAGGTCAAACAGATCTACATCCATGCATTAATGGAGTTAATTGAAGACATTAGCAGTTCCATAAACAATAAGAAATTTGCAGTGGTGTATTTATAGATTTGGTGGTCACAGCAGAAATGAGTGAACTAAAAACATGGTTTGATTTAATAAATTATCATTAAATTTAAACAAAACCAAACTTACGATGTTTGGAAAAAGCAAAATAAATACACAAGTAAAAGTAATGATAAATAATGTTGAAATAGAAAGAATGTATGTGATTCTTGATCACAAAATCAGCTGGAAACCTCATAAAACATGTGAGAGCAAAAGTAACACGGAGGATTGGAGTGATGGGAAAGCAAGGCACGTTTTGAAAGAGAGAGCACTGTATATTCTGTATAGTTCACTTGTGTTACAATATTTAAATTACTGTGGAAGTATGGAGCAACCCCTACAAACAACCTTACAATCACTAAGCACACTACAAAAAAGAACCATTCGTATAGTAAACAATGTAGATATTATGAACACACCAATATAGGGTTTTAAAATTACACACCTTAAAGTTTGGGGATCTGGTAGAATTTAAGACTGCACAAATAATGTATAAAGCAAAAAATAAACTGCTACCTGTAAACATACAGGGGGGTTATAACTTTAGAGGGAAACTAAACTTGAAACAGCATTATACTTGGACCAATTTAAAAAGTATGTGTATTTCCATTTTTGGGGTGGTTTTGTGAATAGTCTTGACGAAACAATTAAACAAAGTATGAATATAATGCAATTTTAAAAAATGTACAAAAGACATATCTTTGAAAAGTACAGAAATGAGGAAGGAGAATGTAAATCTCACAGATGTTAATGGCGCCTGTTCATTTTGTACTTTGTTTTGTTTTGTTCTGTTTTTCTTAATAGCTCGATTGGAGTATTTTTTTTGGATTGTCCGTTTAGTTTATTTTATTGGATTTTACATTGTTAATGATGAAGAATGGGGG